TTCCACCTCGGTCCACCTTCCCTGCGTCTCATGCGACTCTCGGCCCCCTGACGAGGCACGCGCTCCCATATATTTAGAGCTTGCCTTGTCATCATTGTGTCCGTTTACTGCATATTCGGTCGATTCAGCCAGTGCCCCCGCGCACACCTTGCACTCACACGATGGCCAGTGTAATTACAACCTGGCGTCGCCAGCACATGTGATGTTTCTCAGCCCATTTCGGCACATCATGCGAGAGGATGCGCTCAACCTCATCACACAAACGGCGTGCATTGCTGTGCTAGCGCGTGCTTGCGAGAGCGTGCGCGTGCTTGCGTGAGCGTGCACGTAACTACAGTGAGCATCCTGCACTCGAGCGGCAATTACTGGACTGTCACGAGCAAACAACCCAATGGACAAGCTCCAAGGAGCCCGCCGTCATTGGATGATCGCTCTATCAGGGTGGAGTAGCAGGGAGGGAATAGCTTGAGTAGGAGGTGCTGGAGGAAGAATCGTGTGGTAACAACGCTCCTCAGAATTGTCACCAGCTGTGCACCAGTATCGCACGCTCGACCTTCAAAGTGGTCTTGGTGCTCCGACTCAATGTGGGCCGAAGTGGCATGCTCTGTATTCAGGGTGGAGGCATGTCTAAATCGTAAGGTAGTTATGTACAACAGGAGTCGCTCTTCGCAAAACTGAGTTCAGCCCTGCGCAGACTGTTTTGGCGCCGCGGGTCGATGGGCAAGCGGTCAGACTCACTCCAAGATGTCGGACGTCTCCTCCTTACCCCACCACTGCTTGAATTTCTCAGCGGCTGCCTTGAAGGGGCATGGCTTGTGAAGTGCTGAATGTCCCTCGGTGCCCTCAACTGTCGAGGAATTGCTCAAATAGCCCGTCCACCTCTTCATGGCTTCGTGATGCGCAGCCTTCTTCGCCGCCCACACCCCTTTAAGCTTGTGCACCGCCTTCCCAAACCAACACGGAGACTCCTCAGTGCCCATCACCTCGCTCACGGTAGGAGGCGCGGCTGGTACGGCTGACAGGCCCTGCTGGAAAGAGTCGAGCTCAGCTGGGATGCTCACGTCGTAGGGGGTCGGCTCAAAGAGCTGCTTGCCCATCAGCGCGGCGCCACGCAGGTGCTGATCGGGGAAATGGTGGTGGTGTTCTGGTGGCCCGGTGTGGTTTCCGTGCGGGAACATGTGGCCGTCCTCGTTCAATGCGGCTTGCTCCTTGGGAAACCAAAAGATGCCGACGCCCCCCCCACTGGAAATGGAGGGCAGATTGAGGCCTTCGGGCTGGGTTGGGGTGGGTTGGCGGGTGGGGAAAGATGCCGGTGCCGCTCTGCTCCACGGCCCTCTCCCCGGGTGCGTTCTGACCAGCATCTCAAGGGGAGTCCAGCCGCAGCGCCGAGGGAAGGGCCTCGGTAGCGGCATCCCTTCCTCACTGTCATGGGAGCTCCAGGAGTAGCAGGCCCCCGACGAGCATGCAGACGGCACCGATGGCCGCCAGCCCCAGGCAGGTGGCCCCGGCGGCGAGCGCAGGGGCACGCTGGCGCGGGCGCTGGGCGCGCAGCTGTGGGCTCATGCAGCAGAAGTACGACACCGCCAGTCCTGGGGACACGAAAAAGGTGCCCACATCGCTACTCCCGGACCTCTCCCGGGGTGCGGTCTGACCATGGATTCGAGGCGAGCCCAGCGGCATCTCAAGGGTGAGCAGCGGCATCCAGACCTTCCCCTCCCCCGAAGGTCCGACCCACAGCATGGGGGCGAGAGGTGCGAAGATGCAGCACGAGAGCCAGCCCAGGCCGTAGAGCGCCCAGCCGCAGTTCGTCGCCTGGACGTCTGGATCGACCATCGGCATCGGCGGGGCCGCCGTCGCCATGCCGGCGCTCGGCCCCGGCACGGGCAGGCGCGCGCCCTGCTTTCTGGGGGACGAAGAGCGAGCACCCTATGGAGGCCTCTGAGATGGGGTCCGGGCAGATGGGGTCGGAGGATCGCGCCGCATCTCCGCCGCATCGGCGGTGCGGCGCGATCTTCCGACCCCGTCTACTCGGATCCCACCTGGGAGGCCTGGAAACCCGCGATCGGCTCCAGGGAGAGGGGGGGAGGGGGTCCGGGCGGGAGTCGGCGGTCGGGCGCGACACCTCAGGGGCACCCTCGCGAAGCATCCCGCTGAGTCCCGCTCGGCTCCCGCCTGGGCCTGATGTAACGGGCGAGGGTCGCTCCCGTCCCCCCAGCCTGGTCTGCATGCCGCCGGGGCTGGTACTGGACCGTCACGTACGAGTTTGGAGGGAAGTCCTCGGCAGGCTCGCGGTGCATTCCAAAGCTTGGCCCTTTTCCCCTCGTCGCCCCCACCTCCCTCCACACCCTTTTTGGCGTAAAGGTGGAGATGGACGTGGAAGCCGAGGTGGCGGTGGAGGTGGGCATGGAAGGTGGTGGAGGGCAGCGTAGCGCATCGAGCTCTGACCGGGGCCCAGGCTGGGGAGTGCAGCCTCCAGGGGAACAAGACACCAATCGCACTCTCTGAGTATCCTCGTCGACCGGTGGGACACCCCTGCCCTGAATCATTCCTGGCGCAAATCGAATCAATTGTGCCATGTGTATAATATCTATAACATTCACGGGATTCTGCTAATGCGAATATTTATGGCGAAAACTTGTTGTGTTAGTTTTTGTATTTCAGCTCATTATTGATTTGCTAAGCCTACACAATGTATCAACACGTTATATAAGGAAAAACTGAAATGTTCACCTTTCAGCGGCAAAGTAAATGACATACAGGTATCAGCGGGCAGCGCTGAACTCAGCCAACCTCTCAGTGAGCGTCAGTTGAGCCTGGCCACTTCGGCCATCGGATTGCGTAACTTATTGAAACCGAACGCACCAAACAAGCAATAAGCCCCAGTAGTAGCCAACCCGATGTCACCACTGTCACTCCTTCGTATCGGCCGTGGCCCGGCTGTACCAAGACAAGGCACAGCACATGCAAGTGGAGAACAACTAATCAGCCTACTGTAACCAAACGCCCCAACCCTATGCAGCTGGCCGCAAAAATGTGACCCTCTCTCTCTGCACATACTGAGCGCCGCTGGGAAATGGGCACATGCAAGGAAAAGGTGCCGCATTGGTGCTGTATGTGGAGCACATTTTGGGGCACGGTCCGTGCGAGAAGAGTGTGCCGTAATTTGTGGGTGGGCGCATGCGGGGGGCCCCACTTGTGCCGTGTGTGGATCTCCCTGGGGGGGCGCGACCCGGATGGGGTGCGCGGGCACAAGCCGGGGTGTGCATGAGGGCGCCCCGAAGTGAGCGGTGTGTCGCAATGAGCGGGTGGGCGCATGCGGGCCCGCAGTGGTGCCCTAAGTGGAGTGTGCCGAAATGGGCGGGTGGGCGCATGCGGGCGCCTCACTTGAGTGGTAGGTTGAGCCCCCTTATGAGGCACGATCCGTGTGAGGGGTGTGCCGAAGCGGGCAAGCGGGCAGCAGCAGTGGCAGAGAAGCAGCACGCAGCAGGTAGCGCAGCAGCACGAAGAGGCAGGCGGGAGAAGGGGGGGGAAGAGGAGTGAGGGATGCGCCCGCGCTGCGGCTTGAAGGCGAGGACCCATCTCCATAGGAGAGGTGGGAGAAACGCAGGCCAAGCTTGTCGATCTGAACCCCATCGTAGTCCAGTGCTCTCCTCACCGTTGCACAGAGACCGACAACACCTCGCTCGGGCGTGTACCCGCTGGAAAAAACAGATGGCCCCACTGGGGTCCAACAGGCTGCGAGGCGGATGTGCTCCTTTTTCCCTGCGACCCCATTTATGATTAGGTCGGGCCTGTCCCCTTACAGGGGGATTTTGGGCGAAAAATGAAGATAGTCTGCACATACAAAAACAGCAAAAACAAGTGTTTAAAACAAATCGTCCCAGACTGTGTTTGACTGTTTTGGATTATTCTTCCTGTAGGGGAACAGGCCCGACTTAAAGTTAGAATGATAGGGAATCGAATTGCTTCAGCTCCAATGCTGTGATGGTGGAAGCCCGCGAAAGGGGGAAGGTCAAACACCGCCCCATTCCCCTCCCAGAGTGGTGTTATCAGGGTTGCTACTACAGAATTCGCGCTCCAGAGATCGCAATTCCGAATAGGACACGTTCGAGCTATCGAGGCAACAATCTGTTGTAAATTACGTCAGATTCGCTCTCTCGAGGCCAAAATGCATCGTAAATCACGCAGTGGTCGTGCTCTCGAGGCCACTGCGAAGAATTGCAATGCTGCCCCCAAGGCCACGACCCCTTGTACAGCACAAGGAACTCGCGCTCCCGAGATGGCAAATGACCAGCCAACAAACAACCCAAATCAACTACGGTGGGGGGCATTTTTTATCCTATCACCCTGGGGCTTCTCATGCACAGACAAATTCAGACGCCGTCTTACGGCCCCGCAAACAGCGCTTGCGCGAGCCCGCAGCCCGCCAGGACCAGACACCGAAGCGCGGCACCATCACACCGCGCTGAGGCCGACATCAGGCCTGGGGTCCACCGACCTGGCCGCTCTGGCGGCCCCGCCTCGCTCCTGAGCTTCAGCAGCGCTGGCAAAGCCGAAGGAGCCCAGGGTTCCCTCGAGCCCTGGGCGAAACAGCCTCCCTGGGGCAGGCGGGGCGGGTGCCCGTTCCCGCCCCTCTGGGGGCTCCACGCTCGCAAAGAGAAAGCGGTGTCCGCCGCCTACTGCTGGAGCTGCGCCTCGCGCCTCCGCTGCCGCTCCTGCCTGGCCCACGCCCTCCACGGGGAGCCAGGCCCGAACGTGTCACGGAGCCAGAGGCGCCCAGCTTCTAGCTCGGAGGCTGAGGGAGCTGGAGGAGCGTCGTCGCCGCCGTCGCCCTGCCAGCCCGGCCTCCGAATGTCACGGTCGACCGTGAGGGCCACGGTTCCCTCGAAGACGTGGCGGCGCAGCGCCAAGAGCCGCTTGGGCCCACGCGCGGGCTCCTGGCGCGCCACCGTCTCCGAGCCGTGGAGCGTACAGCCGCCACCGACGCCGCCCTCGCCGTCCTCCACATCGATCCCCCCGCCGCCAGAGCAGGAGCAGGAACCCGAGGGAGGCGAAGTGAGGAGGGCGTCGTCGTCCAGGGGGTGGGGGGCATTGGACAAGGAACCCTTTGATAAGGAATCCAGGGCCTGGACGCCGGTGGAACCCCACATCGAGGCCTGGCTACAGATCTCACCGCCGCCCTCATCAGATGAGGAATTCTCCAGGGTCTGCAGCCCCTGGGCACACTCCTCAACCAACGCCCCCACCCGTACCAATCATCGAATCTACAGTGCGGGCGCGTCCGCAAGAAACCCTCGCGAGAAACCCAACGTTGAGAACCCATGCGCGAGGTGCACCTAAGGGGAAACCTGGAGCACCCTGAACGCAGCAGCCTTTTCAACGGCGGCGGGAAGTCACCGCGCAGCGCGCGGAGCAAAGAAACCCAGGATACCCTGACGAGAAGCATATGGTTTCTTGATGCGCGCCCCGACTCTATTATTTTATTGCTCTCGAACCAACGCTTCCACCGTACCAATCATGGGGAAACCAACAGGTACCGATACTGCTACTCTCCAGACCTCTCCCAGGGTGCGTTCTGACCAGGATTTCGAGGCGAATACAGCGGTGACAACGACAGCCTCCGAGGAGGCCGAAAAAGGGGAAAACGGGCGAAGGGTAGCGGTATCGGTACCTTTTCCTCCTCCGAAATCGTCAAGCCTAGACGAGAAGCCGATCAAGCGAGCTGCTGGCCAGCCAGCCGGCAAAAGCACCAGCCAGCCCGATTGCTGGGCGTGGCCGCGCGGGCAGTCCTGCGGGGGGCGGCGGCGGAGGGCGAAACCCTGCAGACAGCACGCCTCAGACTGCAGCGGTTGCTCTCTTACAACTTACAAATACTTACAACTAACTACACTTTACACAAACATTACATATAAACAATACAAATACTTACCAACAGATTACAACTTATAATCATTTACGAACTTACACATACTTACAAGGTGATAGTTACATACAGCTAAATTACATATAACTTATAATTTACAAGTTACAGACACAAGACAGTACGTCATCCGACCGGCGATCCGAATTACAAGTAAGCGCGTTTGACGTGGCGCACGCCGATGTCGAGCCCTCGGGCCTTCGGATGCGGGAGAAACGAGAAGGAACACGGGCAGCGGCTGTCCTCGTCGACGGGAGGGGAAGACGGGTCAGATCGATGCAGACTCAGACATGCGATGTCTTGATTGTCCGACACGGGGTCCCGAGAAGTCCCGACCCCCCGGGGCCAGTGTCTCATCGCGAGTCGTTTTTAACGGTACCAAGGCCTGGCGAGGACCCAGAGGCCGAAAACAACCCAGAACCTCCCGGCGTGTGTTTGGCATCGCTCGAATGTCTGTTTCCCGTGTTTTGTTTGGTTTCGTGTGTGTATGTGTGTATGGGTGTGTGCGTGTGCGCGCGTGTGCGTGTGCGTGTGCGTGTGCGTGAGCGTGTGCGTATGCGTGTGCGTGTGCGTGTGCGTGTGCGTGTGCGTGTGTGTGTGTGTGTGTGTGTGTGTGTGTGTGTGTGTGTGTGTGTGTCTGTGTGCGTGTGTCTGTGTGCGTGTGCGTGTGTCTGTGTGCGTGTGCGTGTGCGTGTGCGTGTGGGCGTGGGCGTATGTGTGTGTGTGTGAGCGTATGCGTGTGCGTGTGCGTGCGTGCGTGTGTGTGCGTGTGTGTGTGTGTGTGTATGTGTTTGTGTGTGTTTGTTGCTTGGGGTGTTGCAAGATGCTCCAAGATGGTCTAGCGTTTCTGGTGTTAGGCTCGCAAGAAGGCATGCACACGACGCTCGAGCGCCGCCAACTTCTTGGGAAGGCGAGCCCAGGGGGGGAGAAGTCCGAGCAGGTGGGCATCCTCAGAGGGCTCGGACAGCCTCTCTGGCCTCCTGAGAGAAGCTGTCCGCGCCTCCTCCGAAGACAGGGGCGCCTTCCCACAAGGCCAGATGACTTCTGAGAAGCTCTGCCGCCTTCTGACGAAGGCCTGCCCTCCTCCTCCTTCTCCTTCCTCCTTCTCCTCCTTCTCCTCTTCCTCCTCCTCCTACATTCCTTCTCCTTCGACATGGCCTCTCCCTGTCGAATCCCGGGGCCAGTTTTTAGGGCGGGCCGGGCGTTTCGCCTGAGACTTCCCCACCATTTCTGAACCTGGGGCTTAAAAGTTGGCACCAGTTTCGCAGATGGAGGGCGGGTGGTTTTCAAAATGTGGCTCTCGCCTTAGCGCCGCGCACATTCGTTTCAAACATCTGCAAGAGCTTCACGGATTGAGGGCGGCTCCTTTTCAACATGTGGCTCTCGCCTTAGCGCCGCGCACAGTCGTTTCAACAATTTGCAAGAGTTTCACTGATTGAAGGCCACCCGTTTTCAAAATGTGGCTCTCGCCTTAGCGCCGCGCACTTTCTTTTTAAGCATGTGGAGGAGCTTCACGAATTGAGGGCTGCTCCTTTTCAAAATGCGGCTCTTGCTTTAGCGCCGCGCATTTTCGTTTCAAACATTTGCAAGAGTTCCGCGGATTGCCATGATCAACGTACCAGAAATGGCGTTAGGGAAATATTGAGAATTAACAGTTACATTGATTCGCAGTGTTGAAGTCCCAGGAATGGCGTTCTGGCACGATTCAGGATCGTCACGAAGCAACAATCAAGTTGACCCGTTGCGTTAGAATCCCGAGAGCAATGTTATGGCCTGCTTCCGTGTCTTCAAACGGTTGTCTTCCAACGAGGCAGTTCCCTCAGTGAAAATGAACCCTTGTCGGGGCCGATGAAGAGGGAGCCTGGAGGGAGGGTTAATTCCAACATCGTTGATGACTCTGTGGTTTACACTGGTCCCTCCTCCTCCTCCTCCTCCTGCGCCTCCCCCCTCCTCCTCCTCCTCCTCCTCCTCCTCCTCCTCCTCCTCCTCCTCCTCCTCCTCCTCCTCCTCCTCCTCCTCCTCCCCCTCCCCCTCGTCCTCCCCCCCTCCCTCCTCCTCCCCTCCCCCTGGGCGCGCCGCCCTTTTTTTGCCCACGGCGCGAGCACGCCTGGCGAGGGCGGAGGCCCGAGGGTCCTGCTGCACCGTCACGAACATGCTCTGGCCGTCGGGGGTGGTGAACTGGAGGTGCTGCCCCGCGGAGATGCCGCTGGGCACGAGGACCTCGCCAGGGGGGAGGCGGGGCGGAGGCCCTGCGGTCGGAAGCTTCTGCTCAGCGTGCCTCGGCGGCGGCCCCGGCGACGCGCTGTCCAGTGCGAGCGGGTGGCGTGTCGCTCCGCTCCGCGGGGCGGGATGCCTGGGAAAGCTCGGGGCGTCGACGCTTGGGAATGGGTACGTTGATCGCGTGTCACGCCGAAGCGTGTCCCATAACTGGCGGAGCGACACACTGTTCGAAAGCTTCTGGCCGTAATCCCTCATCCTCCTATCGCTGCTCATCCCCCCAGCACAGTCTCATCTAGGACGAGAGTGGTGTCATGATGTGGTTGGCTCAGGATGCGTTGCAGAAGCTCTGGAACATCTAGCGGCCATCGATCCTGAGGCTCGCGAGGGACACCAAGAACTATAGGAAGCGTTGGGAATTCTGCAGGGTATCATCTTCATAGAGTTACGTGTTGCTCCTCTCATCCTTCTTCTTGCGTTGGGCAAACGTTGACCGAAGCTCGCAGCGTCGCTATGATCCTCAGCCTCCTCCTCCTCCTCCTCCTCCTCCTCCTCCCCCTCCTCCTCGTCCTCCTCCTCTTCGAACAACTACATCCGTGCCTGCCAGAAGGGTGGCTCGGAATGGGGTCGGGGACCTGAGGGGGGCTCCCCCGGTGGAGGCCCCAGGAGAAGCACGGAAGAGCCGCTCCCGACCCTCCCAGAGGAAACACCAACTTCACAAACACACGAACTTTCGGGAATCCGCGCGGATCTCCGAATGTTTACGTCTACGTACCTCGATGCCAGCATCTCCCATGGAGCCTTTGCCGCGAAGCAGGCTGGCCCCGAGGGAAACGGGTCCTGGATACCCGGGGCCCTTCCCCAGGACCAGCTATTCACCCCAAGCCTGCTGTTGACAGTCTTGCGGCCCTGGGAGGGCCCCGAGAGGCCTCCCCCCGACGTCCGCCGAGCCTAGTCTTAAATCCGCGGCCCCAGAGTCACGACCGCTTCCCCGGGTCAGCTTCCGTCACGGACCAGTCTTTGCTTGTCCCCGCGCCCGATAGTGGCCCCCGCAGGGACCGAATCAGAGGAAACACGCCAGAATTGAAGCGATCATCACTGCGGGACTGGGTTAAGTGGGACCCGACTTAATGACGTGTGCCAGGGGGCGCCCACCCCCCCCCGGCCCCATCCCCCATTCCACTGACTGGGCCAGCCGTCACCCGAAGAAATACCGGCTACGGCAGACCTGGCTCAGCGCTTCTAGCTCATTTTTTCGGCCTCGGGGCCCGATCACAAACTGGCTCCCTTTGCCCAGGGTCCTGGCTCTAGGTCGGGCATGCCCTCCTGCAGGCGGATCTTGAAGAACAACAACACGTAGCTCCCCCCAAGAGATCAAGCCAGTCCGAAACGCACGAGCAATCGTCGCCAGACTACAGTGCGGGCGCGGCCGCAAGAAACCCTCGCAAGAAACCCAACCCTGAGAACCCGTGCGCGAGGTGCACCTGAGGGGAAACCGGGAGCACTCTGAACGCAGCAGCCCCTTCAACGGCTGCGGGAAGTCACCGCGCAGAGCGAGGAGCGAAGAAACCCAGGATACCCTGACGAAAAGCATAGGGTTTCTGGATGCGCGCCCCGACTCTGTTCTTCGATTGCTCTCGAACCTCCCCCCTGTCGAGGCACGTGCCCGACGTACTCCCGGCGACCCTTGGCAGAAAAAGACCGCTGCCGCTGCTCCCGGGGCACCTCCCAGGCTCCCACGGCGGCGCGCTCGGACCGCCCTGCCCCGAGCTCTCACTCTCTCTCTCTCTCTCTCTCTTTGTCTCTCTCTCTCTCTCTGTCTCTCTCTCTCTCTCTCTTTGTCTCTCTCTCTCTCTCTCTCTC